TCAAAGAGATTCGTTGTGCAGATGAGAAATATTCATGCATGCTAAAGCAGACTATGACATAATGTTTGATAGCATGACAATTCGGAGTACAATTATTAAGTGGCAAAGAGGGTTTTGACATGAATTCCCGGTCATCAAACAATTTCATTCAACCATAATAAAACAGATGGACCCAAAACAGTTGAACGCTATACAGATAATTATTGATAAAGAGTGAGGAATTCGTTCTTGACAATCCCAGTAATCAAGATCAAAGATTAATACAAATTTGTCTACGACCCCCAGGCCAGTGGAGGGTAAGCTATACATTCCTGCATGATACAAAATGGAGCTGCATAACCCCCGAAAGGTCATGACAATTTGAGATTAGTGACAACAATACAATTCTCTCAAGATTCAAATGCTTTACACATTTAATGCGGTTTTGAAAAGAAAGTTAGGCTGGTCAAACAATGGACCCATCGCACCCATGCGTCGAGTATTTCTGAGATAGAGCACCACTGCGGACCAATATGAAGATCGGTCAACCGTGGCGCGGAGAAGCCACGCCCAAACGTTAGACACATGTGAACGACAAGCCCATGTATTTGTTACATTTTAATAAGCCCATCATATACGAATCGGGTGACTGACACGGGTGTTTTGCAAATCAAAGATGTTCGTTGTGCAGATGAGAAATATTCATGCATGCCAAAGCAGACTATGACATAATGTTTGATAGCATGATAATTCGGAGTACAATTATTAAGTGGCAAAGAGGGTTTTGACATGAATTTCCGGTCATCAAAACAAGTTCAGTCAACCACAATAAAACAGATGGACCCAAAACAGTTGAACGCTATACAGATAATTATTGATAAAGGGTGAGGAATTCGTTCTTGACAATCCCAGTAATCAAGATCAAAGGTTAATACAAATTTGTCTACGACCCCTAGGCCAGTGGAGGGTAAGCTATACATTCCTGCATGATACAAAATGGAGGCTGCATGACCCCCGAAAGGTCATGACAATTTGAGATTAGTGACAACAATACAATTCTCTCAAGATTCAAATGCTTTACACATTTAATGCGGTTTTGAAAAGAAAGTTAGGCTGGTCAAACAATGGACCCATCGCACCCATGCGTCGCGTATTTCTGAGATAGAGCACCACTGCGGACCAATATGAAGATCGGTCAGCCGTGGCGTGGAGAAGCCACGCCCTGTTCCTACTTTAGACAGTACGTAAACGATAAAGGGGCTTTCACACCGGGCCTTGGTACGAGAGATGAACGCAAAAAATTAAACATGTTTAATTTTTTCGCGTACCTTCGGCGTAGACATTTTTCGCAGACAGTACGCAATTTGTACGCAAGTCTACGCAACGCTACGCAACTGTACGCCAAGCCTACGCAACTGTACGCCAAGCCTACGCAACAATACGCTACCCTACGCCAGTCCGACGAAGCATTAAAACGTATAAATACTTTTTGTTGGTATATACCTGGATGTAAACTTGGCAGGTATTGATCATTATTTTGAAGGGAAATGCTATTTTTGTTTACATGTGTGCGTTCTCACATTTATTCTGTTCATGAAGAAAAAGGGTTTCTTTGACTTTATTTTGTATTCTTGCTTGTAATTCTGTTTGTACTACTACAAGGTATTTCAGACTGACATGTATTGTTTTGTTATGGTTTATTCAATTTGTGATGGTGACATCTCAGGCTACTGATATAATAAACAGAGATAAGATTCACAAACTGATGCCTCATGCGAAATGTTATTATGTTTTGTAGAAATATCATTACATTGTCACACACATAAACGCAACGGACAAGGGACAACAGCTATCGTCTTCAAACTTTCAGGAACTGTTATGGAATGATATTTACAAATGAGTGAAAAAAGGATATGGTCAACAAATATCAGACTTCTTTCCACATTTATTCACAAATCAAAATAAGCACTCTTTTGTTGGCGTTTTGAGGTATCGAATCACATCACGTGACATTGCAATGTACAGCAAAAGAAAGTTCATTTATTACCCTTTTGAATGATACATAGTACAATAATGTAGTCATCCACAAAAATGTCTGCATTTTTTGGAAAATAATATCTTGAACAAATTAACATTACTGAAAAAAGCCTCAGCAGTTGTTAATACCTACTAAAAAATTGAAAATATAACGGTCAAAACGTCTACCAAATGCCACTCTTTACTATTAAAACTTATGGCAGGTTTATAAATGTTATTTTCTTCACTCACTATTTTATGCAAATTGGCGTTTCAGCCCTATTTCACGCATGCAAAAGAGACCCACTGCCCCTTGGATGTCACAGTTTGTCAGATGTTATTTTTATACTAAGATCAAGTTATGTTCACATGTAATAACATGTACTATTCTTTGTACACTTTTTTAAACATATTTTTTATATAGTTTTATAAAGCGCTAATGGCTATACTCGCGGCTCCTACGAGCGTCTATTGCATTTTTACATGGCATTTTCGCACACAGTAAGCAACCGTACGCAACACTAAGCAACCCTACGCCGGGCCTACGCAAGCGTACGCAACCCTACGTAAATTGCCTACGCCGTAGGTACGCGGCGTACGTAACTATACGCCATCGTACGCAAGTCTGCGCGTAACCTACGCAAGGGACTACGCCGAAGCATTAATTTATTCATGAGTACGCAGCTTAACTTTGGCGTAGTCGGTACGCAACACTACGCAACTCTACGCAGATTCGGTGTGAAAGGGGCTTTAGCGCACATACATTTATCTTAAAAGGACGCTCATTTCGTTATTAATCGTCATAAAGAGATTAACATGGTATCAAATTGTAAAGAAAATGTAAAATACCATGAAAGACAAAAAAATGACGAACGAAAGCTTGCACGCATGCGCGTGTGCGCGATTTTGTATAAAGTGCTTAAAATGGCGTAACACACATGCAAAATGAATTTGAGACGATTTGGAGCATTTTGAAATTTTGCGCGCGTCAGTTCGCGTTTATTGACCTGAATTTGACCGGACGGATATTGGCCTTAATCATGATAAATATGAATGAGAAATAACTTTTCGTTATGAAGATATGATCATGAGTAGATTTTCAGAAAAATTCACAAAATGACGTCATCAGTCAATGTCAAGGTTGAAAACTTTGTTTTGCTTTGTCCATATGCATATACATATGTGTGCCAAATGTCAAGTCATTTGCTTGAGCTATTTTTAAGTTATCTTGCTCACAACAAAATTGGGTGGAAATAAGAAAAATAAAGAATAATAAATAAATAAATAAAGGCAATTCTAACGAAATTATCAGGTGGCCTATATGATATACAGCTCACCTGATAAATAAATAAATAATAAAGGCAATTTAAACAAAATATGAGGTGGTCTGTATAGATACAGCCCACCTGATAATAAAGAATAATAATAAAGGCGATTTTAACAAATTTATAAGGTGGTCTATATTATATACAGCTCACCTGATAATTAAAGGCAATTTTAACAATAACATAAGGGGTCTGTATCATATACAACCCAACTGACAAATAAATAATAAAGGCAATTTTAACAAAATTATAATGTGGTCTGTATTACTTACAGCCCACCTAAAAAGAGCACACAAAAAAAATCACTTCTTAAAGTGATATTTTTTGTGAAATAATGATAAAATGAGTGTCAAATTTGAAAGAATATACAAGTTCAATGATTAAGTCATCTTTGTTTGATCAAAATCGGTTCAGAAACGGCTGAAATA